TGTAGCAATTATTTGTTTATTTCTTTATCTGAAAAAGTTGGGAAGAGATCAGATACCTGCCTCCCACTTTTTTTGAAAAAATTAAATATTAGGCAGTTTAACTGACTTGCTGTTTTCTTGATAACAAGTTACTGAGGACTCAAGACTAGAGTTTAGGAACTTTCTACTATTCTACACAGAAAAGTATGGTTAGAGTTGAGGGGGTGTGTGTGTGTGTGTGTGTGTGTGTGTGTGTGTGTATTTCTTCCTTTGAAATATGAATGTACTAAGCAGTTACTGAAGTTAAATTTTGCTTATATATCTTTAGGAAAATAATTTAGCCTACCCAAGTAAAAGTTAACTTGGAAGTTGTGTCTTTGTATTCCCAAAATTTTCTAACAATGCCGAATGTTTTACAATTCCATGTATTTTTGTCCCTTCTAGTCTTAAGACTTCAGGTTAACATGCACTAAATAAATTTTTTAAAACTATCAGAGTAAAAATGGTCACATTCAGATGTAATCAGAAATGCCCAATAGTTTACAGAAACCTCCCTACACAATTTGTAAGTGTAACAGACAATTGTGATTAAAGTACAACAATGTTAATTATTACTAGCATAGATATCAACACCGTCTCGAAATTGTTTGTTTAGTTGTTAAAATGTATTTACCCTCAGTACTACTGTAACTTTTTCTTACTTCTTCTTTAAGCATGTTTTCATATGCTAACATGCATCAACTTAAATTTTATTKTATTTATCAAACATCTATGTAGCATTAACTATGTGCCTGGCCCTATATTAAGGAGTTTATGAATAGTTAACTCATTTTATCCTCATGAATCTCTTAGGTCATTCCTACTCTTATCCTCCAATTTACAGATGAGGTATAAARAGGTTTAGTCACATGTCCAAAAATACCACTTATAAGCTGTGACTAGAATTCAAACTTACCCATTCCAACTCCCAAGTTTGTGCTCATTATCAACATGCTATGCAGTGCTAAGCCTTGCACTCACAGTTAATTATTTGTTGATTAAATGAATAGATTATTCTCTTGTCACAGCATGATTYGAAAGCATTAAGCAAATTTTCCAGTTTCTCTGTGGCTTATTTTCCCATTTTGTAAAAAAGAATTATAATACTTGCTATTTATTTCTATTCCTAACAATAGAATTTACTTTATCTAGCTGCTGTATGTTTTTATTTTTTATTTTTATTTTTTGGTACTGGGGATTGAACCCAGGGGYGTTTTACCACTGAGTTACACCTCCAATCCCCCTTTTTAAAAAATATTTTTTAGTTATACATGAACACAATATCTTTATTTTGTTTATTTATTTGTATGTGGTGTTGAGGATCAAACCCAGTCCTTCACCTGTGCAGGCAAGCGCTAGCTATGCCACTGAGCCACAGTCYCAGCCCATCTCCAATCCTTTTTTTATGTTGATACAGGGTTTTGTAAATTGCCAAGGTTATGTGATCCTCCAGCCTCAGCCTCCAGAGTCACTGGGATTACAGGTATGTGTCATCCTGCTGGTTATTTTATGTTTTCAAGACTGGGTCCATAATGGGTATCAAGRCAGCCAACAGCATGAAAGAGAGCTCAACAATTTAGGAAAATGAAGKTTTTTACAGTCTGAAAGAGTATGATGTGCAAGGACAAATCTTTGAAGACTTAAATTTTCTTAAATTAGACCTTTATGTCCATTTAACTTTGAATTATTTTCTTTTTATTAAAATAAAGCTAAATTAGAAGGTTTTATGAAAAAGAATAAATGAGATGTCATCCAAGGCTTAGATTATGTGATCTTAAAAGATCTACATATAGCTCAGCATGGTGGCTCACTCCTGTAATCCCAGAGGCTGAGGCAGGAGGATCTCAAGCTCAAGGCCCTTAGCAACTCGTCAAGACACTGTCTCAAAATTGAGAAAACAAAAATAGAAAGAGCTAGGGATGTAACTCAGTAGGAAAGTGCTCCTGGGTCCAATCACTAGTACCAGTAAAATAATCTAATTATAAATACTATAAATGAAAATGACTTTTTTTTTTCCTTATAGTWCTCTGGCTTAAAAATTTATCATGACCCAGTTAGGGAAAACATTAGAAGTTTCTGTGGCAAGGTTTCTTGATCAGTCCTTACTTATCTGCTGTCTTTATTTAGTTCCCACAAATTCCATGGGCCACTTTATTAGCTAGAAACATGGCAAGGGAAGAAATTCAAAACAAGATCAACTCTTGTTAACAGCAAGGGCTGATAAATGGTCCAAGCACCTTGTCATATGACCTTGAGTCATTGATCCTCTTAGTCTCAGGCTCCTCAAAAATATGAGGCTTTAGCGCAGTGAAGTGGCCCATATCTTTATTCCCAGCTACTTGGGAGGCTGAGGCAGACAGATCATAAGTTCYAGTATAGACAATTTAGTGAGACCCCATCTCAAAATAAATAATAAAAAGGGCTTGGTGTATAACTCAGTGGTAATTCCCCTGGCTCAACTTCCAGTCAGTGCCACTACCAAAAAAAAAAAACAAAAGAAGGAGTGAGAGAGGGCCTAGCTGTCCAGCTCACCTACAGGACTATTCAGAGAGTCAAATGAGTCAGAGAAACCACTTTGTAAACTATACTTCATGACTATGGAGAAATTAATATTGAAAAAACTTCTGAAGATAGACAGTTGCTTTTGCATTATATCCATAGGTAAAATTACCCATGTACATTCTTGGCTATACTTCCAAGTCAAATAAGTTCTGAAAAGCAACAGACTTTGAGTTAATCCTTGGGAGGGGTGGGATTTCAGATGCTGAAATACTGAACTCCTGGCGAAAGGAAAGGGTGAGAGATAATATTATTGGCTTGAGGGCATCTGACCATAGGTCTACATAGATATGCTTGCAATAAGAACAGAATCTTTTGCTGAGGTCTACAGAGATGGTTCTCCATGCCTTGTCTAGAAGGGAGGGCACCCAATGATTCAATCTGGAAGGAAAGCCATCATACTATCTATCCACAAGCATTTGTTAGAGACTATAAATTGTATGTGCTCTGGGAACATAAAAATGAAATGRTCCAAAGGCCCTGTGTTACTGTTAAATGAAACAAAGGCAAAGTTGTTAGCAAGGTCCAGCAAATGGACAGAAAATACAATTTTGATGACAAACATCAACTGAAACTTAACAGCAATAGAATCCAGCAAGGATCCCTAGTATTTTCCCTCCTGTTTAGAAACTTTGGAAGTCAACTCAGCTACCCTGGTACTGTTTTAAAATCTGATATGCTGTGGCTAAAGTGCACAGAAGAGCAGGTAATSAGTGCTGTCAGGAGTGGCCTGTCTTATGACCTGTTTAACTTTGATCACTTCCATGATCACAGAATGCGCACCTTGCCCTAACCAACCATCTGGCACAGGCCGGCTCTGTTTCCTAGGGAAACTTGGCAGAGTTTTCAGGGTGGAAAGGCAACCTATTACCTCCACTGGGGGGAAAAAAACGAAAAAACCTCACAGCACTTGTCGTACTGATATCAGCATCACCTTCACAGGCCAGGAACAAATCATTACAGGGTATAGACCCAGAACACCCAGCTGGACATTAATAAATCAGGGAAGAAGCCTAAGGACACTGTATTGTACATTCCTTCGAGGCAGAGGCCGCATCGATTCTCCTTTAGGTGGGAGTGAAAGTGTTCTGCTAGCAGGGAACTTGCTACTGATAAAACTGGTCAGTTCYAAGATACAACCCTCCGTGGAATCCCTGGCCTCTTCCAGGGTGTGGGTTGATGCCGAGGGCTAGTAGATCAGCCGCAGTAGCCTCAGCCTTGCATAGAAACCAAGTTGTATTTGAAATTCCCTTTAAAGTAGGAGGCGGACATGAAAGGGACAGGACAGCAAGGCTGTGTGTATGTGTAACTTGTCCCGCGTTCCACAGATGAGCCCTCTCCTTCACCCCAATGCCACTTCCCCCAAGGTAACCTGAGGTTCCAAACGCCAAGCCATAACGGGAAGGAGCCCACCCATCAACCGGGAGGTTACCGTTGGGGGTGGGGGATCTTAAGAAACACCCYCGCGGACCAGTTTCTGAGCAGGAAAGTGGACCGGGAACAGCGCATTTCCTGCTTCGCCCGTGCAAACCCCAGGCGGGGCCAAGCGGGAACGAGGATACCGACGAGGAGTCGCCGCCGGGTACCAGGGCGGGGTTCGGAGACCGCCACGAGGGGAGTACTGGGCACCAGGAAGGGATGCCGGCGGAGGGAAAGACAGGGGGYGTGAAAGTAAAATTAATGTTCCATTGTGGCGGAGAACGAACGTCCCGGAGCCACTCTCGCAGTCTCGCTTTTCGGAAGGAGAGCCGGTGTAGCAGAAGTTGCAAGGTCTGGGTCGCACCTCCCGGGCCGGGGGCGCGCGGCGCCGGCCACGGCTGGACGGGTGACCGCTATCTTCCCGGCCACTCCTTCCTCCTCACCAATCCCCTCCCGCCCGCGACCTTCGACCTCCATCCTGGACCCCCGGTGTACTGGCCACGGGACAGGGAGGAGACGCGAAAGGTAGCAAGCGGGAGCGGCGCCKCCGCCCCAGTGGGCGCCGAGGCACAAGGTGCCCATCGGCGTCGTTGGGCTGAGCCCTGGACTGTGCTCCGCCGCCGCAGACCACCTCCCTCTGGGTTCTGGGAGGCAGCCGATCCTGAACGATTTATAAATGCAAAGGCCTTAATGTTTTTTTTTTTCCCCCTAGGGATACCAATGTCTATTCATCCGAGGGTCGCACCTGAGTTTTTCCTGGGTTTGCTGCGCGCACTCTCCTCCCCTCCCCCACGAGCTTGCTCTTTAGAGCCACCTCAGATCTGCCTGGGTGCTCAGGGATCCTTCCCGAATGACTCGAGTGTCCTTTGTCCGGCTCCCGCTTCCCGAGCATCAAAAACACAAAAGACTACCGGAAATCACCCAGCCTTTGCCTGTTCACTCAGAGGCCCTAGGAAAAGCTTGGCCCTGATTCSTCCAGGTCTGAGCCACCGTTTGTCACCTACCCGAATTAATTTCTGCGCCCGCTGGCCAAAGACCCCAAGTGGTAACAGGCACAGCTTCTTGCTACATTAGTTGCTTCCTCGCCCAGCCTTTGGAACTGGAGTCCGGCCGGCGAAGCCGGGGAGTATAAGAGCAATCAGTAGCCTGGAGCCCAGAATTCCAGCACTGTGCATTGCAAATGTTCACTGCCGGCTCCAGAGCTGGTGGTGTACAAGGCTCTCACTCGTGAAACTTGTCCCTCTACCCGCCCCCACCCCCGCCCCAGTATATCTCTCGGGTTGAGAAAAGCAAGGCTTGCAGGAAGCCACTCCGGATGTTTGCTTCTTTACWTGTGGCATTTGTGGCTGGCTCCGATAACGTCCAGAGCTTGGCTTCTAACACTGCGTTTAGTGAAGAGATTGAAATACGAGTCCGCACACAATGCGCACCAGTTTGGGGCGCCGCAGTCGCCAGTACTCCCCTGCACCCCCCMAAAAATATGTCAAGAGAATGATGAAAAGAAATCAAACCTAGGTAACTAGTATGTAAAAGGCGACTGGTCTTGGAAAGGCACCACAATTCTTTTTTGGTAAATTTAAGTAAACTGCTACGTTATGACTCCCAAGGAGGGTGTGTTAAGAAATAAAGAAAGCGCCCAAATCTGAAGCTCCAACTCCATTTTAGGGATGTGTTCTCTCACCTGCTTTCCCAGTAACCTTATCTGTCAAAAATCACTGGTTACTCTCCAGGATCGGGTACAAATAATGATGGAAACCTTTAGATTTTCTTCTTCCATCAGTTTCCCAACTTTAAGATCCAGGAGGGTAAACAAGGACAAAACTGCTCTTGTACTTTTTCTGGAACCACAYCTGGATTATATTTTCTATACTCCAATTTATCTTTGGAGAAATTAGTCAAATAGATTAATCTAGAGATGGATTCTAGCACAGGCTCAGTCTCCATTCTAAAAAACTCTTAGTTCATAAAAGCTTTTGCAGTTAAGAGAAAATTCTGCTTTGAGATTTTTGAAAACATATTTATTACAATCTAAAAAAAAGTTAGACAATGTGTTTTAAAAACCAGCAAGGAGCAAGGTGCTAAGGGATTAACTGGTAACTTTGCTGTCCCTCTTTTTTAAATTTTTTTTTTTTAAATTTATGATACTGGGGATCAAACCCAGGGGTGCTTCACCAGTGAGTACAACTCCAGATCTTTTTTTTTGTTTGTTTGTTTTGAGTCAAAGAGTCTCCCTAAATTGCTGACCCTGTCTTCAAATTTTCCATATTTTCTCAGCCTCCTGAGTAGCTGGGAATATAGGCTAACATTGCTGTTTMTACTCCTATAGTTTCCTTATTTATGACCATTTCCAATGCATTTTTGCTTTATTTTCAAGCCATTTTTTTTCTTCTGGAACAAATAAAACTTTAAAGGGAAAATCACCATGAAATTTAAGATAAACTGCTTTAAACTATCAATTAAAWACATTCCACTATGATTTCTTTAAGCAAATTAATTAATTAATTTTTTTCTTTTTTGAACCATAGCTACTTGTAAACTAGAACTAGAGTCTTACAGTCCCTATAGGAGGACTGGGTGCTAAAGGAAAGGTGAGCCAAGGGAACTAAGTCCACACATCCCTGGTAAAGGTTTTAAACAGTTGTATATCGGTTTTTTTTTTTTTTTTGATACAAAGCAATGACAGAGAAACTAAAGGTCAGGATTTAGCAAAAGCCCTGTGTTTTTAAGGATGCCTTTAATGAGCCAGACATGATAAATGACTTTGTCRCTGAAATATCACACAGAAAGCTATAACATTTTACCTCTCAGATCCAGGATGTAATTGATACYACTTTCATCACCCCTTCATAGCAAACTGTGAAAATCTATTCTGGAGATTGATATATTGATTTTTCTTTTTCCCAAATGTATGCAGAGGTGGCCCTGTTGGTTACTGGTGGAAAACAATACAAATACATAAACACAACTGGCAAGTGTGGGAGGGGGTATCTTGGCTCCTGCTCTGAAGGTCAACTGCCAGGTGCAAACTTCACCATCCCAACACTCTGATCTCCAGGCACCTTTTTAAAAGACCTGTCTTGCACCTCAGTTTCCCTTCTGGTTAAGCTAYAAGTGTCTAACTAATACAGTTCATTGGAAGATAAACTAGTTYGATAAGGTTTGGAGGCAATAAGAATACTGAATGTCATATATAATTGCTATATAAAGGTTTGTTTAAAAATCCCAAAGAAARCCTTTTTCAGGTCTAAACACAAGTTTAATAATCATTCACATTTCCTTTTTAGGAAAATTATCTGCCKGGGTAGCCATCTTAGATACTAAGAGATTTAGCTATTTTACCGCTCAAAGTATTGCTCTCTTTCCCTTAATAAATTTGGGCACTTAAAGACAAATATTGTTGTTGTCTTTATATTTTACCTTTATTTAATTTTTTTTTTTGTGGTACAGAGAATCRAACCTAGGGCCCCGTGCAAGTCTTTCCATTATAGAAATCTAACTTATGAAACGCATGAGAAACAGTTTTGTTAAATGTATCTTACACATTTTAATTTGAAAWTTTTCAAGGGTTTATTTATCATGAATAAAAACTTTAAATTTCTTCAGGGTGATGGACCATTGGAGAATGAACGTCATTCCTTATTTAAATCTTGTTTTAAATAGTAGAATTTACCTTGGACATAACATTTTTAATACTATGCAAGTAAGGTGAGTCCTTGGGGAGAGTTTGTATTCGTTTATTTTGAACACTATCTTTCTGCCTTAGAAAAAAATACATTTGCAGAAGGCACCCGTACAATCCCTTGGAAKGAAGCAAGTTCATCCAGCACTGAAATATCCTTGCCTTCTATAATAAAGATGTGATTTGAGAGAGAATAGAACCGATGCTTMGCGGCTAATGTGAACTATTTTGGGTAAGTACCTCTAGCTTGCAGTAGTCAGCGCCCCGAGAAAGTTCTTCAGTGGCTCCCCTTCCCCGGTAGGACAGGACGTGGCGCCAGAACCCGGCWCCAGCCAGTTTTCCTGGGGGGCAGGTGTAGCCCAGGGCGCTGGACCGGGGGAGGGGAAAGGGGCGGGCATGGGGTTAACTAGGACTGGAGACTCGGACCACAGGCCGGGCGTGGGCCTAACAACGCCGACCCGGCCCGCCCCCGCCGCTCCATTGGCCACAGCTGTGCAGAAAAGGGCTCGCGGCCCAGGGGTGCTTGCAGTGTCACTGGGCCKACCGGGGACTTTAGTTAGTGTGCGGGGACTGGCTGGGGACGTAGGTGGCGGCTAGGGGCCCGGAGGCTCTCGCAGCTCTCTAGGTATCTCTCGCCTCCCTCTCCACCCCGTCCTCCCCGATCCCGGATCGGGGGAGGTGGTGTGTCCTGCGGAGGGTAGCGGGGCGCGGGGCAGGGCTGGAGCGCCATGAGCAGTCCGGATGCGGGATACGCCAGTGACGACCAGAGCCAGCCCCGGAACGCGCTGCCAGCGGTGATGGCCGGGCTGGGCCCTTGTCCCTGGGCCGAGTCGCTGAGCCCCCTCGGGGACATGAAGGTGAAGGGCGAGGCGGCGGCCAGTACCGGAGCGCCGGCTGGGGCTGCCGGCCGAGCCAAGGGCGAGTCTCGCATCCGGCGGCCGATGAACGCCTTCATGGTGTGGGCTAAGGACGAGCGCAAGCGGCTGGCGCAACAGAACCCCGACCTTCACAATGCTGAGTTGAGCAAGATGCTAGGTGAGTCCAAGCTGGGAGGCCAGGCTACCGATCTCCGTTGCGAATCGCGGTGCCACTTCCTTGAGCCCAAAGAGATTTTTTTATTTTGTTTTGCTTTGCTTCCGAGACCAGGTTTGTGTTGTAGCCTCGTCTATCCCTGAGGACACTSTGTTCCCGCCTCCTGCTCCCCTTCTTTCCAAACGGGCTTTCAGTCTTTTTAGTCCTTATGGCCAGGGCGCGAGTGCAGTGGTCCTGAGAAGGTGGCTTCCCGGTGCCTTCGAGCTGCGATAGGGCACCCCTACCTCTACTTGGGTCAGTCGTGTCAGAACTCAACCCCTTCCCAGCTCAGGGAATATTTCAAGTTTTTTTGAAACCGGGAGATGGGTGAGAGGAGAGGTCACTTCTAGGAGCCCAAAAGAAGTGAGGAGTACCCTTAGAGGACTTTTGAGTTCCAAACCTTCCCTCTTCAACTTGACTTGGTTTCTCCTCTGGTTTTACAATTTTGATTGGGGTGGGAGAGGTAGGGCTAGGTGAGGCCTGGGGCGGGAACGCCCTTGGGTAAGTCCTGCGCCCCTCTCCACCTTCCCATTTCCCTGCAGGCAAATCGTGGAAGGCGCTGACGCTAGCGGAGAAAAGGCCTTTCGTGGAGGAGGCCGAGCGACTGCGCGTGCAGCACATGCAAGACCATCCCAACTACAAGTACCGGCCGCGGCGGCGCAAGCAGGTGAAGCGGCTGAAGCGGGTGGAGGGAGGCTTCCTGCACGGCCTCGCGGAGCCGCAGGCTGCGGCTCTGGGTTCCGAGGGCGGCCGCGTGGCCATGGACGGCCTGGGCCTGCCCTTCGCAGAGCAGGGCTTCCCGGCTGGCCCGCCACTGCTGCCCCCTCACATGGGTGGCCACTACCGTGACTGCCAAGGGCTGGGTGCACCATCGCTGGACGGCTACCCGCTGCCCACGCCCGACACGTCCCCGCTGGATGGCGTGGAGCCAGACCCGGCCTTCTTCGCTGCACCTCTGCCAGGGGACTGCCCAGCTGCCAGCACCTACAGCTACGCGCAAGTCTCGGACTACACGGTGCCTCCAGAACCTCCAGCTGGCCCTATGCATCCCCGGTTGGGTCCAGAGCCCTCTGGCCCTGCAATGCCAGGCCTCCTGGCGCCCCCCAGCGCCCTTCATATGTACTACGGCGCCATGGGCTCACCCTCGGCGGGCGGCGCGCGCGGTTTCCACCTGCAGCCACCGCAGCAGCAGCAGCCGCCGCCGCAGCAGCATCCCCCGCCGGGTCCCGGGCAGCCTTCACCCCCTCCCGAGGCTCTGTCCTGCCGGGATGGCACGGACCCCAACCAGCCCACCGAGCTCCTCGGGGAGGTGGACCGAACGGAATTTGAACAGTATCTGCACTTCGTGTGCAAACCCGAAATGGGTCTCCCCTACCAGGGACATGACGCCAGTGTGAATCTCCAGGACAGCCACGGGGCCATTTCCTCCGT